TGTCAACAGACTTTTTTGGCCTAAACTGGCTTTCAACTGCCATCCTCAGATTTTACCTTCCTGAGTAGCTAAGATTACAGGTATATGATGCTGGCATCTGACTATTTCTTTTTTTTTTCCCCCCTTTCCTTCCTTCTTTATTTCCTTTCTTTTTTGTTCTTCATCCTCCTCCTCTTCCTCTTCCTCCTCCTTCTCCACCTCCTCCATCCTCCGCCTCTTCTGCTTCTGCTTATTCTTCTTCTCTGTTTCTGTCTCTGTCTCTCTTCTTTTTCAGTGTGGGGGAATCAAACCCAGCACCCACCCTAGGCAAGCACTCTACCACAGAGTTACATCCCCAGCCTAAAGATCCCTTATTCTGAGGTCTGCCAACTGAGCCACTCCTATTGTCTTCTAGGTGGGAAGTGCATGGGCAAGGACTGGGCACAGCCCTTACTAAGGTTTCCTCTTCCAAACTATTCAGCTAGGCCGATGGCATTGCTCTTGTAGTGCTTTACTAACAGTAACAAGCTGCAGCCAACATATGTCAGCAATTTGAGCATTTCCAATTGGCTTTTGTGAGTTACAAGCTCTGTGATCCATTTCTAAAATGTGCAGTAGCCTGACAAACACACATCAACTCCCAACCCTTACCAGCTCTGACCCGTTACTTTGTTGCAGAACAAGCTTGGCTCACACCACTGAGTCCTGCAATGCTCCATTGTATTGTGCATCCGGCACTGCCTTGTGTGTCCCGGGGGCCTGCCTCAGTGCAGAGCTGGGCTGGCACTTACATGACTGTTCCACGTGTAAAATGCTTCCAGTTCCAGCTCCTTCATGGGACCCTGAACAGCCAAAACATATTGGCTGATATGATGAAAAGTCTGTTTGGGGATCAGAAAAACCCAATTAAAGTTTATGTTCAGTCATTTGCTTGCCAAATGACCTTGGAAAGTATTGCTTGTTTCCCCTGAGTTGGTTTCTAGGAGTAGAAGAGAGGGATGGGGCAGGAAAGTCCATGAGACTCTTATCTCCATTAATAAATCACCAGAAAACTGGAAATGCAGTTGTGGCTCATAGTGATAGAATGCTGTGTTGAGTATAAAAGCTCAGGGACAGTGCCCAGACCCTCCTCATTTGTCCCCTAATGGCTAGTTTTCTCTTTTTCTTTCAGTAATAGAAATCACTTGAGCCAGGTGCTAGGGGCTCAACTCTGTAATCTTAGCTACTGAGGAGGCTGAGACCTGAGGATCACAGTTCAAAGCCTAGGCAAGAATGTTCCTGAGACTCTTATCTCCAATAAACCACTCAGAAAACTGGAAGTGGTGCTGTGTCTCAGGCGCTTGCCTTGAGCTGAAGAACTCAGGGACAGTGCCCAGTCCCAGAGTTCAAGCTCCATGACCAAAAAAAAAAAAATCACTTGGATGGTTACATAAAAGACAGATTCCTAGCCAGGCTTGGTGGTACATGCCTGTAATCCCAGCTATATAGGAGGTATTAAGTAGGATGATAGTGTTCCGAGGCTGGTCTTGGGCAAAACCAAGAAACTCTGTCTGAAAAATAAAGCAAAAAAAAAAAAAAAAAAAAACCCAAAGGAATCAGAGGCATGACTTAAGTGGTAGAGTGCCTGCCTAGCTAACACAAGGCTCTGAGTTCAAACAACAACAGAAAAAGATGGAGAGTCTCACCCTCTTTTACTGGAATGAGGCCTTATGACTCAATTTGGCCAATGCAATGGAAGTAGAGTGTTGAAAGCAACATCCAGGTCAGAAGTTAGGAGAAGGATGTATGAATTCTACTTTTTCTTTTCTTTGGAATGGTAATATAATGGCATGACCAAGCAGCCATTTGGTACCCAATATAGAAGACACATTGACTGGGCACAGGGGTTCTTGCTTGGAACCCTAGTTAGTCATGATCTCAGGATCATGGTTCAAAGCCACCCTGGACAGGAAAAGTCCATGAGACTCTTATCTCCAATTAATCACCAAAAATCCATTTCTGATGGAGCTGTGACTCAAGTGGTAGAGTGCTAGCTTTGAGCACAAAAACTCATGGACAGTGCGCAGGCCCTGAGTCCAAGCCCCAGGGCACATGTGTGAACACACACACACACACACACACACACACGCGCGCGCGCGATACTCCAAAGAGTTTCAGAATCATTCACTAGCTTTACACTATCTACACTATCTTCTATTATAGAGGAAAGAAATTTCCTTGTTTATGTTTGTTTCATTTTGTTTTTGTTTGGGCTTGAACTCAGGGCCTGCGCACTGTCTCTTAGCTTTTTCTCTCAAGGCTGGCATTCTACCACTTAAGCCATAGCTCCACTTCCAGCTTTTGGTGATGAGTTGAAAATAAAAAGTCTCACAAACATCCCTGCCTGAGCTGGCAATTCTCAGATCTCAGCCTCTTGAGTAGCTAGGATTACAAGTGTGAGCCATCAGCACTAGCTTCGGTTTTCATTACCACAACCAAACATATTTCCTAACTAATGCAGAATTTGATATTTGTGGTGCTTAAAAGCCTGAAGTGTGCCATTGGCTTAGAGACTGAATGACAGACAGCAAAGAAAATATTGCATGCTGGTAAGCTGTGGGTTATCATTGTATTTCAGCAAAATATAGGCTAGATCTGTCATCTGTGATGCTGGAGGTAGGTGGGATGCTGATCGTCTTACTGCTGTCCCAAGTGTCCATTAGCTGTGCTTGGAAGTTCCATTACTGGACAGTACTGGGTAGTACAGGGATCTCTGTACTATTCAAGGCACACAAGAGAAAGTGAAGTCTCTGGGTTGGAGGCCTGGCTCAGTTGGTAGCATGTCATCCATTGAGGGAAAGTGTCAGTTTGAGTCCTCATCTCAGAAGTAAAAATTTAAAAGAAAAAGCCAAGTCTCGTTTCCCCTCTGTTCTCCTCCAGCCTCTCCATAAGCAGCACTGGTACTTGGTGGGAGGAAAGGAAATGCGTTCAATGATTTCCGGCAAGAAGTCTTTGTGATCCATTCCTGAGTGGCCACCCTAGGGTCCCTGGGGGCCTGGGATGGAAGAGGCTGCTAGGAGAGGAAGGGAGGGGCAGCCAGAGAGGAGCCAGAGCAGCTGGGTCTGCATTCCCCATTTGGACTCTGACTCAGGCCCCAGGAATGCCAAGGAAGGCGGTGTGCAGCCGCCAGGGGCAGGCTGGGGTCCCATGGGCACAGGGAATGCAGGGCAGTGCGCCGGGGCATGGGGGCTGGGGCTCCCGCACACCCAGACGTCTCCCCAGCCGAGGGAGAAGCAGGTGTCTCTCCCTGTGGGGAGGACAGTGCATCTGAACCTCGCACTTCTTCATCTCTCCACCTGGGAGAGGGGCAGACTCCCGGACGCCAATGGGGACATGTTGGACACTCTCGTTTATTCTTCTGGAAGCACCCGCCACCCCACGGCCGCATCCCCACACTCCAGGTGGACGAACCTCATCATTTCTAATTTCTTCAACTCGTCCCTCCACGGAAGCGTGCGTCTCCCCGCCGTCCCTGCTTTGAGCGCGGGACAAAGAAGTCCGAGCATCTCCGCTCTCCCTGCGCCCCCACGATGCCCCCAAGCCTCCTCCCCGACGCTGGGGTGACCTCAGAGACCCACAGGGACCAGGCCTCAGGATCCCCAGGTGCACCCCCATTCCCTTCCCAGTCGCCTGCCAAGAGGGGCAGCTGCACAGGGACCCCCCCACCCCACCCCCCTGAGCTGTGACACCCAATGAAAGCAAACCCGATCCGAGAGGGCTGGGCGCCAGGGCCCGGCCCAGAATAGTGCTGCCCAGGGCCGGCCGCCTGTCGCTGCGCACTTGGCTCCCTGGTTGGAGCTGGCCCCATGGAGCCTGAGCTGGAGCACGCACTGCACAGGGTATGGGGGTCTCAGGGGGCCTGCACTGGGGCAACTGGGCCCCACGATCCAGCACTGTAGTGTGTGTGTGTGTGTGTGTGTGTATCATCAGCCTTTCCTCTGAGTATATGAGCTTGTAGGCATCTGCGTGTGTGTGTGTGTGTGTGTGTGCTGTGTCTGTGGTGCTGTGTGTGTTTTGGAGCACTTGGATATGTGTCTCTGTGCCTTGTTGAGTGTTTATTTTGTGTGTGTTTGTATATGTGCGTGTTTGTGTGTACGTGTAAGGGGGTCAGGGTGTGTACCATAAGAAGAAGGGGACCCTCTGGACTTCGGGAATAGAAGCTTCCACCACGCCCTTCAGACTTTCCTCTCCCCACAGACCCCATCCTGGAGCAGCCTTGGGGGTCCTGAACACCCAGGTAAGTGGACCGTTCCTTTCTCGGGGCCTAGCCTCTTCTCCCATTGCTCCTTTCTCCCCACCTTTCTGGGACTTCTAGTCTCTTCGCCTCTCTCCCCTCCACACCTGATTTTTGCCAGAAAGCCCTTTCTCTTCTCTCTGTCTCCTTCCTTCTTTCCCCTCTTCCCGGTATGTCCTTCACTTCCTTGTTCCTCTTTGCTAAAGACCTGGATCTGAGTCCCAAATGTTCCCACTTTCTAGCTGTGTGATTTCCAGCAAATTGTTTAACCTCTCTGAATTTCTGGTCCTTCACTAGAAATAGGAAAAAAATAATGCCTCCCTTATAAGGCTGCTATGAGTATGGAATGAGAACTATGTTGGAGAAAAGTTCCTTTTGCAAGTTCACCAATATATTTATAAATTAAAAATATTTATAAATAGATATCAATAAATATCACATTGAAGTAGACATTGTGTGTGTGTGTGTGTGTGTGTGTGTGTGTGTGTGTGTGTGTGTGTGTTGGGGCTGGGGCTTGAACTAAATTCTGTCCCTTGAGCCACTGCTCCACTTCTAGCTTTTTAGTGGTCAATTGGATACAAGAGTCTCATGGACTTTGCTGCTCAGACTGGTTTTGAACCTCAATCTTCAGATCTTGGCCTCTTGAGTATCTGGGATTACAGGCATGAGCTACCAGCCCTTAATTTGAAGTTGATTTATTTTTGCACTATTCCCCTATTAAACAAATAGACCCACTTCCCTGTTTCAGAGATGAGCTTCCTAGAGCAAGAAGACAGCGCCTCCTGGTTATCACCTACCATGACTACCAGCTCAGAAAGAATCTGTGGCAAGAGGGGAGCCAAAGCATTGAGATGGATGAGGCAGGAGGCTGTGGAAGAAGGGGAGCCACCAGGTTTGGGGGAAGGTGAGGCCAAGGTCATTTCTGGGGAGGTACAAGAAGGTAGTGGGAAATTCCAGAGCTTTACCTGGGGCTCATAACACAGAATTGGATCCAACCTTTAACCTATGGCCTCAGTTTCCCCACAAGGGAGGGGGAAACAGTAGCACGGTGTGGCCAACTCAGAAAGATGGCACAGAGCTTTTATCTGCTGTGAATACTGACCCTCTGCTCCTCTTTCGTAAACGAGGCCACAGCATTGAGGCTTCCCAAGGGCTGTGGTGAGATACTGAGCCAGCACATGAGGAAGTGTCCTGGAAGATGGAGTTACTGTCCTCTCTCCCTCCTTCCTGCAACAGGTGCCCAGTGCAGGCCAGCTGCTGAGTCCACCAGGCTGGAAGCCACGTTCCCTAAGACCACACCCTTGGCCCATGCTGCTCCCTTGGCGGAGCTGGAGACCCCACCCACAGGATGGGACCTCCTTCTGCCTGACTCTGCAGTCTCTGCTACAGGTTCCAGTTCCGGGGATGTGGAGCTGGACATAGAGTTCCCAGCCACAGAAGCCTGGGACTATGAGCTGGAAAACCTGGGGGAGGACAGGCCTGCCCCATGCCCATCCCCACAGGCTCCACTTCTCAGCCTGGGCTGGGATGATGAGCTGCAGAAGCCTGGGGCCCAGGTCTACATGCACTTCATGCAGGAGCACACCTGCTATGATGCCATGGCCACCAGCTCCAAGCTGGTCATCTTTGACACCACACTGGAGGTGAGGCCCTGGCTCTGTCTCCCCTGAACTCAGTCCTCATCCTTACAGTTCTGCAGTGAGCACCCATGCCCGCTAGGCTGCTGTTAAGCCATGTCTCTCTACAAGTTCCCTTCAAGGATTCCCCAGAACCTTGGAGAGCAGTGGGGAGAGGGAGGACTTGTATTTTCTGTGAACATCCTCTAATTGTCATCAGAGCCTTGCAGCTTAATGTCTACAGAACCTTAGATCATTCATTACCTTACCTCTATTATCTCTAAAAGAGGGATCAGAATACTTGCTTGCTTTTGGTTTCAGAGGAGTCTTGGGACAACCCACTATAAAGAGAGAGCCTTGGGAACTGCCAAATATGTGTAAGACGTTACAGAGTCACCTAGGACACCTCATCCAGAGTCACCTCATCCATTGGATGAGGCAACTAGACACCCTAGTTCTACTATAGTTCTATTGTTTAGTCTTCATTTTATTTATTTTTTTTGGGGGGGGGTCAGTCGTGGGGCCTGAACTCTGGGCCTGGGCACTGTCATTGACCTCTTCAGCTCAAGGCTAGTGCTCTACCACTTGAGCCATGGTTCCACTTCTGGCTTTTTCTGCTTATGTGGTGCTGAGGAATTGAACCCAGTGCGTCATGCATGCAAGGCAAGCACTCTACCACTGAGCCACCTTCCCAGCCCCACACACGAGACTCTTATCTCCAACAAACCACCAGAAAAGTGGAAGTGGCACTGTAGCTCAAGTGGTAGAACGCTCGCCTTGAGCTGAAGAGGTAAATGACAGTGCCCAGGCCCAGAGTTCAAGCCCCACAACCAACAACAACAAAAAGCTGAAAATATATACAATTTATTTAAAGGAAAAGCATGTATTTAGCGAGGCAAACATGATGTAAATAATTGTGTCTCTAGTATTTGGATTAGCAAAGTTTTTTTCTTTTTTGTTAGCCAGTCCTGGGGCTTGAACTCTGGGCCTGGGCACTGTCTCTGAGCTTCTTTTGCTCAGGGCTAGTACTCTACCATTTAACCCACAGCACCACTTCTGGCTTTTTCTGTGTATGTGGTAGTGAGGAATCAAACCCAGGGCTTCATGCATGCTAGGCAAGCACTCTACCACTAAGCCACATTCCCAGCCCGCAAAGTTTATATTGAGTCCACATCCACAAGACCTCTGCATAAGCTCACTGAATTAGAGTTCCTCGTGGTTTGGTGGTCCATGGGCTCCCTCAGTGCCCCTGATCACAAGTAGCTTGAGCTGTGTAGCAAAAACACCCAATGGTGATTGTGTACCGTGACCTGGGAAAAACAAGCAGGCTCCTGTCGGGGAGGACCTGGGAGAAGGTTCCATGGGAGGACCTGGGTGGGATCAGCAGACCAACAGAGAATGCCCACTGTAGGCAATGAGAGAGGAGGATGAGGGTCTCATGGACTCACCCTTTGTTCCTCTTTCCTGTCTTCAGATCAAGAAGGCCTTCTTTGCTCTGGTGGCCAATGGTGTGCGGGCTGCCCCTCTGTGGGACAGCAAGAAGCAGAGCTTTGTGGGTAAGAAGAAACTAGGAGGTGGGAGTGGATAGGGAACGGCAAGGGGGCTGACCTCATATAATGCAAGGAAATTAGAAGGGCAGGGCTGTTGACCTGCCTTGCTCCCAAAGGCTATAGGATGACCTTTTCCCACTGTCTTCTTCCATTCCACAGGGATGCTCACCATCACAGACTTCATCTTGGTGTTGCACCGCTACTACAGATCCCCCCTGGTGAGTCCTAGATACCCAGGTGAGGCTGAGGTATGGTACCTGCAGGACCCACATGTGACTGCCAGTTTTTTGCCCGTGCCTCTAGGTCCAGATCTATGAGATTGAAGAACATAAGATTGAGACCTGGAGGGGTGAGTGGGGAGAGAGGCTGTGGGGCTGAGTGTGGGGCCTGATGCCAGAGGCTGAGCATGTGTGGTGATGATTTTCTGAGGAGCGGTAGGCAATAGGGAACTCCAGGTACTTGTGGAAGGGGGAGCAGCTAGACTACTTGCAAGACAGTCAGCTCCTGTGGCCTGACACTGGCTTCTTCTGCAGAGATCTATCTCCAAGGCTGCTTCAAGCCCCTGGTCTCCATCTCTCCCAATGACAGGTAAGCATTACCAACCATCCACCCGAGTCTCTCGCGCTGATCTCCTTCTCCTACCCCACTCAGCCCTGACCTCTTTCATCATCTGGGGAAGCAGAGGCAACCTTGGTGTCCAGGAGGCTGGGATGGAGGGTGTCTCCCTTTCCATGGCTTGGAGGCTCACTGCTTCCACCTCCTCAGCCTGTTTGAAGCTGTCTATGCCCTCATCAAGAATCGAATCCACCGCCTGCCCGTCCTGGATCCTGTCTCAGGCACCGTGCTTTATATCCTCACACACAAGCGACTGCTCAAGTTCCTGCACATCTTTGTGAGCCCAGGGTGCAGGTCCTGAGGGGGGGAATGGGAGCATGGAGACGCCCAGAGGGATTTTTTTTTCAGCCTAGGGATGGGGGGAGGAAGAAACTGGGAGCCCTTGAGGACGGCTTGACCTCTGATCACCACCCTGACCCCATCCCGACCAGGGCGCCCTGCTGCCTAGGCCCTCCTTCCTCTGCCGCACCATTCAAGATCTGGGCATCGGCACATTCCGAAATTTGGCTATGGTTCTGGAGACGGCGCCTGTCCTGACTGCACTGGATATCTTTGTAGACCGCCGCGTGTCTGCGTTACCAGTGGTCAATGAATCTGGTACCCACATCTAGGGCAAGAGGCTTTGGCCAGGATGGGGAGAGGAGGATCTGGTGGAAGGACTTGGGCAGGGTGCATGGGGAAGAATTTGTGTAGTATTATCTTGGAGGACCAGGGTGGAAGGTGTTAGAAGTCCCTGCCTTCTTTGAGCCTTGGACCAGTTACTTAGCTCTCTGTGCCTCAGTGTCTTCATCTGTGAAACAGAAATCTGTGTGTGTGTGTGTGTGTGTGTGTGTGTGTGCACGCGCATGCATGGGCACGCGCATGTACAAGTATTAGGGCTTGAATTTAGGGCCTGGGTGCTGTCTTTTAGCTTTTTCACCCAAGGCTGGTAGCTCTACCACTTGAGCCACAGCTTTAATTGGAGATAAGAGTCTCACAGATTGTCCTTCCTAGGCTGGCATAGAATAATAAACCTCAGATCTAGAAGTGGTATTTTAACTGAAAGGATGAGAACATCTTAGACCCGAGGAGGGAGGAAAGGGCAGGTATTAGTACCCTGGTGAAATAGAAATCTTAATGCCTTCTAGCTTTCTGATTTCATAGGAGGAATTATAAGATTATGTGCAAATAAAATGAGCCTAGTAAGAGGAGGAAACAGCAGACCAAGTTTTATGTTTTAGTTCAACCTAAGTGGGCCATGTGATCCTAGGCTCTCAGCCAGGCCTCAATTTCCTGCTCTGGAAAGATTCAGCAAGGTGGAAAAACATTTCTTTGGATAGGCTATAGAATATATTTCAAAGATAGGGGCTGGCAATTGTAGCTCGGTGGTAGAGTACTTACCTAGCATGTATAGGAGCCTGGGTTTAATCCTTAGAATGGGGGCTGGGGCGGGAAATCAAAGTTAAATTCACTGTAATGAGGTGAGATATCAAGAAATGCTTTTAAGCCAGGTGCTGGTGGCCCACGCCTGTCATCCTAGCTCCTCAGGAGGCTGAGATCTGAGAATCATGGTTCAAAGCCAGGCCAGGCAGAAAAGTCCGTGAGACTTTTATCTCCAATTAACCACCAGAAGTGGCACTGTGGCTCAAAATGATAGAGCACTAGTCTTGAGCAAAGAGCTCAGCGCCCAGGCTGTGGTCCTAGGCTGTGAGGTCAAGCTCCATAAAAAGAGAAATGTATTTATTACCTGACTATTGAAACAGTAACCCCTCTGTACATCATCTTTATAATAACAATAAAAATAATAAGGGCTAGGAAGTTGGCTCAGTGGTAGAGTGCTTGCCTCACATGCATGAGGCCCTGGGTTTGATTCCTCAGCACCACATAAGCAGAAAAAAGCAGGAAGTGGTGCTGTAGCTCAAGTGGTAGAGTGCTAGCCTTGAGCTGAAGAGCTGAGAGACAGCACCCAGGCAGAGAGTTCAGCGCCAATGACTGACAAAAAAAAAAAAAAATTAAAACAAGCAGTTTTCTATAAACAAATAAACAAACAATTCATTTGCTTAAACTGGATCCAATTTAAATCCATATTTTGCATTTCTATCTTTTGTCCCTGAGTCTGCTCAATCTACAACAGTTCCCTTATTCCTTTATTATCATAAAACAGGTCGCTCACAAACCCTGGATCTCTATGCAATACCTCACCTTGAAATTCCTCTGTTTGTTTTCTAGAGGTGGCCTCACCTTGTTCCTCTCTTCCTGTTTTCTGTGAATAAGAAATGAGATCTAGACTTGATAAGTTGAGACTCTACATTCTAGGCTAGCAGAGTTCATTGTTAAGGCCCTCATATTGCATCTCATCAAGATTCCTGAGGTCAGATGTCTCACTCTCTAGCATGCCCAGTTGGCCAGACTTAGCATGAGCAATCACCCTGATACCCCATTACAAAATGGTAGTCTGGGAGAAGGGAGATTTCAGCAAGCTCATTCCAGTAGGCTGCCCTAATCTCCTGCACAGCCTCCTGCTTCTGACTGGGTCTCTGCCCTGTCTTTCTCCTCCCTCCCCCTGCAGGTCAGGTGGTGGGCCTCTACTCCCGCTTTGATGTGATTGTAAGTGTCTGGGGACTGGAGGTGTGCAGGGAGGCTGGGCAGAGAGGGCTGGTGGGGAGTTTCTGTGGACACATTTACAAATATGTAGAGCATGTTATCTGTGAGGCTGTGGCTTGAGTGACAGAGAGACTCAGATGTCACCTTCTCTCCCTACTCCAGCACCTGGCTGCCCAGCAAACCTACAACCATCTAGACATGAGTGTGGGAGAAGCACTACGGCAGAGGACACTGTGTCTGGAGGGGGTCCTCTCCTGCCAGCCCCATGAGAGCCTGGGGGACGTCATCGACAGGATTGCCCGAGAGCAGGTGCACAGATGCAGGCATGCTCCCAACACACCTGGCTCAATTCTTCCATGCATAGCTCCAGCTACCCCTGTAATGGGGGTGCCTGGCCTGTCCTCCCACATGGTGGCCAACTTGTAGCATCTTCTTGGTATGCCACTGGTGCTGTCCCTGAGGGCTACAGCCAGCCGAGTGGTCAAAGCCATAGTCTCCTGGTTTCCAGGAGATGTCTTCACATTCCTCCAGCTATGTCAAACTTCCCCCTGTTGCTTGGAGCTGTAGCCACGAGGCTCTTACCATCACTGACCATTGTCGGTCCACAGGTACATCGGCTGGTGCTAGTGGACGAGACCCAGCATCTCCTAGGTGTGATCTCCCTCTCCGACATTCTTCAGGCGCTGGTGCTTAGCCCCGCTGGCATCGACGCCCTCAGTGCCTGAAAACTCCCAGGCCACCTTCCACATCCAGAACCCAATGAAGGGAGCCAAGGGACTCGGCCTTCATCTTCCACCCTCGTTGGCTGATTCAGTTCTGGTTCAGGTAGGCTCCACTTTTGGTTATTGGGCCAGCTCCTTGGTCTTCCTGGGCTCCTAGATCTCAGATTGAGCTACCTTGAGGAGGAAAGTGGCCTTGTTCAAAGCTGAGCTGCCATGGAACCTGGAAGTTTGAGGCTTCCACGTTGTCTCAGTTCCAGCTGTTCACAGAGGCCATCCTAGGAGAGGTGGGCCCAGCTGATGGCACTCTGAGGAGATTTAATTACTATCTCCTTCTTCAATTTCCACTGTGGGGAATTACATTAGAAGGAAGCAAGCTAATAACCCTGGTTTGAACGGCATTTTCATCCTCAGTGAATCTGACATGATCACAGACTTTCCTGGTAGCATACTTCATGGGAATTTACCAAAAGAGGAGGCACAAGTTCCAGCTAGTTGGCAGTGAGGGCAAGACTTGTCAACTGAGCAGGCAACGCTCTCTCCCTGTTTAGTTAGTCACTGTCTGCTCTCTTTCTCACAGGCTTCTCCAGCCTCCCCCCTTGATTATCCTTGCTCTTCCTATAACTCCCAGAAGCCCTTGCGTCCCAGAATGACGACATTAGGAACAGCAGAGTCAAGTCTGGAGGTCCCTGAACACACTGGGATTAACCCAGGGCTACCTACGCTCTACACCCACTCGTATTCCTTTCCCCCTTCCGTGGGTGGGGACTTACTGCAGTGGGGCAGTGAGCACACAGCTGTGGGTTTGACATGATAAAATGCTCTGGCTCCCTTGGCTTCTGAACCAGGCACAGATCTTGCTTCAAACTCCTGGGAACCCTAGAAGAACCATTTTGGTGATTCTCCTACAACTTGACCACTTTCCTCTTACCTACCCTGCATTTCATTTCGGGGCTGCCAGGGGTGGGGGTGGGGTCACTGGGGAGCAGCTCTTAGTTCCAGAGCTGCATGTTGGAGTGGGGTTCTCCATTATTATCCAGAAAACAGTTCTCAGTTCCCAGGGAAGAATGGCCTTGTATTTGGATTCCTGAGACCAAGCAATCGAAGGAACAAGCCACAAACTTGGATTTTATAGATTCCATTCAAAATGCTATAGCCATGAAATCTGAACAGGTGGGCAAATCCCTGTACTTTCTGAATTCAAAGACTTGAAGGAAATTCTGCGAGTGACAAACACTGCAAGTGACATTGCTTTTGAACACAGACTGTTCTTCCATTGAATTTTTAAACCATCTTTTATTTATAACAAAACCCAAAAGAAGATATTTATTAATCACTTATACAACAGGTAGTATGCAGTCTACACTCTTATCTGCAAGAAACATGAATTATAAGCTTTGCAATGCTGAATGTAATTTCTCTTAGGAACCTCATTTCATCAGGTGGTAGAAATTAACCTCAGTCAACTTGGAGGCGGGGGTGGGGGCAGAGGGGCTCTTCTTTACCTTTTTCTAGAGTTTAATGAGCAGAGGAGGCTTTAAATAGTAGCACCTATCCATGGCCAGCACCTGTCAAAACACCCCTCGTCCATCTGAGTGTTGGTTGGTCATTGGTGTACATAGTCACTACCTTGTACTTCCCCACTTGCAAAGCCTCTCTAAGGCTGCCTGCAGTTGGGCGTTCAAGACATCCAAACTCCTGAATTTGCATCCCTCTGGGCCTTAGGAAGCTCTACAAGGCTATTTCAGAGCCATCTTCTGAGATAAACAGCATATTCTACTCTATGTCTTATTGCTTTCTTCAGGCTCAATCCAGAAACAGCCCAGGGCTCTTCTATAGTTTCTTTGTCCTCCCAACCTACCCCAGCCTATGGAATCTTTACCAGTCTTTACAGAACTCATCATATGTTCTCCCAAATCCACCCTGTGTCCTGAATTCCTGCCACCCACATTGAGAATCAGGCTTCTGACTATGTAAAGCCAAGTCTCAGCTTCTGCTGTCCTCTTTCCTATGCACATGGGTGCTCCAGATCCAGCCATCCAGTGCAGGAAGATTAGGTAGATATTTCTAAACTGTGATCCCTCCCCCTGACACAGCCCCCCCCCCCCCCATGATCCATCAGGCAGTCAATGAAGGTGATTCCTTACGAGACACTTCACCAAAATCCAAGAGTTAGTAGCTCTTCTCTGCCCTATTCAGGAAGGTCTAGAGTCTTGGGCTCAAGTGGGAAGAAGAGATGGGTCTGGGTAAAAAAAAAAAGAAGGATCAATCTCTAAAGCAATGATGTTCTTGTAGAGGCTGGGGCAGGCAGCTACCCCTATGGCTGGCTCCAGGAATGTGTAGGAGGTTAGTTGTTTGAGGAGAGACCTTCAGCTCTAACTGTAAGGTGGAGAAAGGTATTTGATCCCTCTGACTGCCCTTGAACTTTCCTGAGTCTTCTACCCTGAGGACCCAGCAGATGTCCACTTGGGTCCTTCTATGAGGGCCCACTCTGCCTCACTGCCTCAGTTCCCACCTCTGAACAGGCCCAGAGTTCAGTTGCTGGCCCAGCCCTTGAAACTCTAATGGTTACACCCTCCCCCAGGCCCCTCAAAAAGATAGGGGGACATTGCATCCCATAGGGGACACAGGTGCCTCTACTCTGACTTAGAATAAAAGAAGTATGTTGTGTGCCTGCTACCCTCTGTCCCTTCACTCTGCCTGTGGGCTGGTTTAACATTGTCTCCACACCTGTAGCTCCCTTTGGACTCCTCTGCTTTTCAGTCTCTTCTCTCTCAACTCTGGATGTGCTTCAGGATCACTAAGGAAACACTGAGAAATACAAAGTCCCAGGGCACTCATTCCTGGCAATTCTCATGAGATTTGGAGTGGAATCTGGGCAACTATATTTAATTTCTGTCAAAACTGGAGACTTAGGATTGCTAACACAGATGGACACATGAGACTGGGCTAATAGTAAAATTATCTGTCTGATGATTAAGTCTAGTTACTCAAGTACTTAAAAGACTAAGAGCAGTGACCGATTGTGCAACGCATATAATTGACTAGCATTCTCACAGCGCTTCCAAACATCCATTCCATGACAATTGCCAGTGTTTTCACGTGACATGCGTATTCAAACTGGAATGATAAATTATCACCTAGTATCTAATCAAAATGCATTCGGAAGAATCCCGTAGAACAGGAGCTTGTAGACAGCAAAACTCTTGCTTAATTATTTTAAAAAAAGGAAAGCTGTTTTCTTAAAATTTTTACTGAAAAATAAATATGGACCCTAAGCCAAGTGCTGAGGCTCATACTAGCAATCCTAGCTACTCAGGAGGCTGAGATCTGCGGATCATGGTTCAAAAATAGCCCAGGCAGAAAGGCTGTGAGACTAATCTCCAATTAATCACCAGAAAACCAGAATAGCACTGTTATTCAAAGAGCACTAGCTCACAAAAACAGCTCAGGGACAGCACCTAGGCCCCAAGTTCAAGCCCTATGACCAAAAACATATAGATGGACCCTAATTTGGCCAACAAATTCCAATTCGCTGGACTGGGATACCATTGTTTGTATTCTTTTCAGGTAAAGCTATAGCTGCCAGGCAGAATCATTGCCTGTCTTTCTGCAATTACCCTACACCTGCCACTGGCTTTTCTTTTTCTTTTCTTTTCTTTTTGCGGTTCACACAGGTTGTCCACCAGAAGAAAAGGTTTCATCTGTTTAATCATTTTTATTATCAATACAAAGCATAGAAGCACATAACTGAGATTCTATCCCCTTGAGTCTTTAGACAAAACATGCATGTAAGAAATCAGTGTTCTACTTCAGCATGCGCAGTCACTGCCCATTGGTGACAGCTCCAGGAGAGGGACCGGTCATAAGTAATCATGGTTCTGAAGTGCTTAACAATTAAAAATGCACTACAATAAGAGCAATGCTCAGTTTGGGGATACCATAGCTAATTTGAACTCAGGGCCTCTTACCCCTTCTTGGCTCTTTTTCATCAACACTGGCATTCTACCACTTTTTGCTTTTTGCTGATTAATTGGAGATAAAGAATCTCACTGATTTTCCTGCCTAGGCTGGCTTCAAACCACAATCCTTAGAACTCAGCATTGCTTTTCTTTATAGGACAATGTCAAGTGGCCACCAGGGAACTTCACTGGGACATCTCTTTTAGTGATTCTTGGGGACCCTGAGACCCTCAGACCTCCTGTACAGCCAATGATGGGTTTTGTGCCAACCTTCAAACCAGAGCTATTGCTTCTCACTGCACAGAGAAAGCTCAAGGGAAAGAATCTGCCTATGACATCCCACCCACCCTGTCTGTAGCTTTTAAGTGTGTTTAATGAATCACTGTCAAAGAAAGGGATTTTCTTGTCTACATTAAAGATATCTCATCCAGACACTTTGATGAAATATAAACACAGAGGACACTTTCAATTCCAAGATAAGCAAAACAAATTTCCTGCATGCTTATGGTAGGAACATTTTTTTCTGTAGGTTTATTGTATATCAATAAAAAACCTTTCATAAGTTAAAAATACTTCAAGTATCTTTGTATGTACTTGAAATTATATACTTCAAATGTACTCTATAGAGAAAGCCTCTTTGACCTTGTTAGAATTTTGTTTTTCCCACTTTATCAGGGGAGTCTGATTCATTTCCTCCAATGCTATATCTGTGGGCTTTCTGTAGCACTCTCTGTGGCCAAGATACCACCTTTATGTCATTAACTCCTCAGTTCTTTTTTTTTTTTTTTTGGGTCCAGTCATGGGGCCTGAACTCTGGGCCTGGGCGCTGTCCCTCAGCTCTTCAGCTCAAGGCTAGCACTCTACCACTTGAGCCACAGCGCCACTTCTGGCTTTTTTCTTTTTGCTTATGTGGTGCTGAGGAATCGAACCCAGGGCCTCTGGCATGCAAGGCAAGTGCTCTACCACTGAGCCACCTTCCCAGCCCCAACTCCTCAGTTCTTATAGCTTGTGTTTTGGTCTTGCTACAGCGTACTTGCATCTGGAATGTTTGCTAAAGACCCATATGTTAAAGGCCTAACTCCCAACT